TCTTTAAAGGTACTTTATGGAGTTGTTGACCACTGGTGGTCCTGTGGAGCAATGTTTTAGTTAAAGTAGTCACCATCAGTATTGTACACTGACAGCAAATTGATACTTGATGGCACCAAGACATGTAGGCAGGGAAAGAGAACGCTAATTAGCAAACTTCGATGTAAATAAAGCAAGCTTTTAAATATTCTTAAAAGTTGGATGATACTCCACATTTTATTCTCTGTGTTTTCTCACTTGTGGCTGGTTGTGTGTTTGTACAAGGGGCTGTGATTCCCCTTGCAAGTTGATGAATGGTGCTGAGGAGAGCTATGAAGCTGGCTGAAAGGTTCTCAGTAGCTGGGTAAATGATTAGGCTGTGCTCAGCCACAATATTCACATTACTTCAGTGTCTGCAGGCCCAGGCACTGATCGATACTCTATTATTCCTCCACCTAAGCCAATCCCTCGATGGCAGGCCACCACAGGGAGCCCAGCGCCGCTGCTCAGACTCCACCAATCAGTGCTGTTGCGGACAAGGAGAAGAACGTGATTAGATAACTTAACTTGCACACAGTTCCACAGTGGAACGACATCCAAACATTGCTTCACACTGTCGTGGTGACTCGCACGTACAGACACAGTTGAGTCAGGAAGCAGTTTGGTGCTGGTCTGTAAGGTGAGAGGAGGCTGCTGGAAGAGACTGCAGGCCTCCAGGGAGCACTGCAGTGGTCTCTGCTTCTGATTAAAAGTTTGCTTTTGCAGCATTCAGCTTTGCAGAGTCAGCAAATGACTGACCTTGGTTATGTCCTGTGTGTATCTGTCATCGTGTGTGCATATGCTGTGATCTGCCTTTATGTACATACACATGACCTGTGAAAGCTGATGCCAGTACTGATGTTTATGATTAAAGCTGCAGGGTTGGCGAGAGCCTATCCCAGCCCACACTGGACGTATTGCCAGGTTATCACAGGGCTAACGCGCTGACAAATACATTCACACTTACATTCACACCATATCTTCAGTCTCCGCTTCGCTTCCAGCTGCAGTGTTTGGACTGTGGGAGGAAACCATCGCTCTCTGAGCTAAAACAATATGCAGACTTAACACAGAAAAGCTTAAGTGGGTTTCTGATGCTAAAATCTGTCCAAAATTCAAAATATTCATTTTGCGAGATTCTAATTTTGTTGGGTGTCTCTGACCAAAGTCCAGTTTATTATAGTAAATACGTTTAATAGAACTTAATCTAGTTAGATGACTTGATTACTAAAGTAGAACTGTGATTAATTAGTGGTTTCATTATTTATTAATTTGAAGATGATCAGTTACTGAACCACAAAAATTCCTTTAAAAAATGTATTTATTTACTCTAGAAATAAAATGCAGCTTTTTTTCCCTTAACTTTTTCTTTGGTTAACTACATTCTTACAAGGTTCTATATACTACATTAAATGTCCAACTGTGACTTTACCGCTTCTCACTAAATTGCATATATTGCCAGGAGGTAAGAATTTTTATACCTCCTTTTTTTTTTTTTTTTACATTATTTGTTTTAATCTATCTTAGCCTTGTGCATCTCCTCCATTTTCTTTGTGTTTACGCATAGCTGTTATGTAGCTAATATAGCTGTTATTGTAACACAAGTACTAAAGTTCTTCTTCTGGTGTTTAAGGTGCTTTAAGGTGCATTGTCACTGCGCTTCGGCCTGGAGAAATGCTGACCTTATTGGCATGCAGCGCGGGAAAATAACATTGATTACAATCAGATTTGGCAAGCACATGCACATGTGTGGCTGTAAGCAACATTGATTCATCATATCTTGATTTAATGTGGATGCTAAAAATTTGTTAGGCATACAAGAGATAAAACCATCAAAGCTGTGGTCAGAAAATCGGCTGACGTCGTGTCCTGTGTGTGCAGTTGGTGTCGGTGCCGCTGTGTGTTTGTTGCATGAATAAATGCTCACATGCTCTCTCGCCCTATCTCCCTCTTTTACTTTTCTAACCCTAGTTGAGTGCTGCGAGTGTGTAAAGATAAAGAGCTGTTAAGTGGTGCTGTGCTTTCCACTGTCTGTTGAGTAATGGCCGAGGTGCCCATCGACCCGCCGGTCCCATAAAGCAGAGATCAGCAAACAGACGGACTGTTCAAACGCAGACCACTGCAGGCAGAGCTCTGCAGGATGTAGGAAAGATTAAGTTGTTCTGTGTGTTCTGTTGGGCTGGTGTTAACCGTAAATTAAGAATCAGATATTGGCCAGTCACAGAGTTGATCGGTATGATGCAGTTTGTTCAGTTTTTATTGAACTTTTATTATAAAATCAATACGTCATGATGTGATATTAACCTCAGAATCTATTAAACGCAAGTATGAATGATGATATTTGTCTAGTGATGGTAATATGTGATGATCTGAATATTATTACCATTTCATTTGTGTAGTTTCTGACATAAAATAGACTCCTTACGATATTAAAAACTTTATGAATATCAAAACAAAGCAAAAGACAGCTTTTTAACATGTTATTTTTGGATTCAAGCCTCTGGATTTACATTTCCATGGCAACAGTGGGCTCACATTTGCGAAATGGTGTTGCTCGTCAAGTCATTGTATTTTTTTTGTATTGAACTTTTAAAACAACAGCCATTGCACCAAAATCTTTTCAAGTCGAAGAAAGAAAAAGAGCAAGAAAAAAAAAACACATAATTGATGGTATTAAGTTGTTTGTTTGTTTGTTTGTTTGTTTTTCTTTCTTTCTTTTTTTTTTTTTTTAAGCCTTTTTGCATTTATTAGATAGGACAGTCAAAGGAGAGACAAGAAAGTGGGGGAAGGGTTGCAGCAAAGGGCCATGAGCAGTATTCGAACCCATGGCCGCTGCATCAGAAACTATAGCCCCTGTACATGGGTCGCCAGCTCAACCAGGTGAGCTATAGCTGCGGCCCGAGATGTCATCAAGTTTTAACCATAAATTTAAACACTGGGATTAAGACCCCTGCAATGGTATTTATGGTGTGATTGTAATTTACATATTGTGGATTAAAATACTACAAAAATTATATAAAATACTACTTTAACTGATAATACTATATGATAATAAAAATTAAAGCTAAGACCCTAAAGTATTATGAATTACAGAGAATAACCTAACTAATTAAATAATGTAGCTAAGACCTTTGGTTATTTGGGCTTGAGCAAATTAACTTAAATATTAAGGCTACAGGGCTGCAAGGTGGGGCAGTTGTTAGCACTGTTGCCTCGCAGCTAGAAGGTCGCCAGTTCGCGTCCCAGTGGAGGCACCGGGATCTTTCTGCGTGGAGTTTGCATGTTCTCCCTGCGCAGCGTGGGTTCTCTCCGGGTTCTCCGGCTTCCTCACACAAGGTCCAAAAACATGTTGAGGTTAACTGGTGATTCTAAATTGTCTATAGGTGTGAATGTGAGTGTGCTTGGTTGTCTGTCTCAAGTGTAGACCTGTGATAGACTGGTGACCTGTCCAGGGTGTCCCCTGCCTTCGCCCTCAGTCAGCTGGGATAGACTCCAGCCCCCCCACAACTCTAGTGAGGATTAAGTGGTGTATAGATGATGGATAGATGGATTAAGGCTACAAAAATATACATGAAAACCCTCAATCCCCTATTGGCAAGCTTTGTTTTTTATTTTTATATTTTTTTAATGTCAATTGTTCTGTGTTTTACTTGTTTAAAATTATTTATTCTAGTTATTTTTATTGTTATTTTATTACATTTTACTTGCGATAGTGAAGAGAAATGACTCCGTTGAACAGATTTTCAGTAGAACCAGGCTCAGGGAGGACTGTCTATCTATCTAAAGTGTTAATTAATGCAACTAATGCTGTAATGCAATTTTTTTTTAAGTCGATGGACATTTTCAGGGGTTATTCATGCTTTGCCAGTCACTGTAACTTAAACTTACAAAAGTGCGGCCTTGTTCTTTAATAGCTATGCCTTGTATAAATGTTGATTTCAGAGGAAAAAGTGAATTTTACTTCTTTATACTTTATATTTTTGTGTGTATTTTGAAATATTTGATTCATTTGTCAAAGGTGCAAAAATGTAGACTTCTTAGACATACATCCTTTCATTTGTAACACATTTATGCTGGGATATGTAACCATTATGTGTAGACATAAAACTAAAGGGCAGCATATCTCTCTTTAAATGGCTACCATCAGCCCACAGCTTGTTCCATGTTATACCAGAAACCAAAGGAAATCTGTATGTGTGGGTTTTACATGGGTGCAGGTACAGAAAGTGTTAGAGTCCAGTGCACATTCGAGAGAAAAAGCAAAGCAGCTCATTGAATGTGTTGTTTGCAGTAATAGGTGTCTGTCTGTACACGCCGTGGCAGAAAATGCACCTCGACACAGCAGCCTCAGCAAATGTGATTTCACAAATGCTCGCAGGCTTCCCACTCGTGGGTAGAAGATCATGAACGTGATACGTGGGAGCTGAAGGACAGATGGTCTCTTTCTGATTCATGAACTGGCCTCAATAACTTGTTTATGATGTCGTACTGTGTCATACTATAGACTGTACACATACTTTGGTAACCACAAACCCCTTTTTCAGAGTCTTTTTACTCTGCAAAGAATACACAGATCTAGTTTAGTTATATGGGACATTTAAGAACAGCTTGAGTTGACCAAAGTGATGTGCATGTTGCAATGCAGGCAGCAACAAAAAACAATGCAAAAAAGCAAGAAAACAGGATAAAAACTTGTAAAAATCAGTTTGCAAAATAAATGTGGAATACTAAAAAAAAATGAGACAAAGCAGGACAAGAACTAACCTCCGTCAGAGAAAAGTTAACAGCTCTTCTTCTGAGCATCTGAAAGGCCTTGAGGTAGAGTAGGGGTATTTACAATATTTTCATCCGCTAAAATTCTTAAAAACAGCACATCATTACTCAAAATAAAATATCCACAGCCAGACATAATTAAATTCATGTATTGTCAGATTTTTTTTGTTGCGTGAGGATGTTCAGTAAGCAGTTCTTTGTCTCTCTAGGAGCTGTGTGAAGACCCTCACCTGTTTGTAGATGGCATCAGTGCACACGACCTACATCAGGGGCAGCTGGGTAACTGCTGGTTCGTAGCGGCGTGTTCTAGTCTAGCCTCCAGAGAGTCTCTGTGGCAAAAAGTAAGTCTCCTCCTTCTCCTCCATTACCTCCTCCTCCTTCCCCTTATTTTTCTTCTTCTTTTTCTATTTTCTTTCTACTCCTTCTTATTTTTATTTTTCTGTCCTTCTTTGTCTTCTTCTTCCTGTTGTCCTTTTTCTTCTCCTTTTTCTTTTTTCCTCCTCCTCCCCCTCTTCTTCTTATCCTCTGCCTTCTTATTTTTCTTCTTCTCCTCTTTCTCCCTTAATCATCTTATCAATTTCTTTCTCTGTCCTCTTCTTCTTCTCATCCTCATCCTTCTTTCTTCTTCTTTTTCTTCACCTTCTCCTTTCTTTTTCTTCTTCTTCCTTCTCCTTTATCTTCGTCTACTTCTTCAGTAACCTCTCCTTCTTGTCATTCTTCTTTTTCTTCTTTTCTTTCTCCTACTTTTTCTTTTTCTTGTGCTTTTTCGTCTTCTTCCTCTGCTCCTTTTTCTTCTCCTTATTCTTCTCATCATTTTTTCTTCTTTTTCTTCTCCTTCTTCACTTTTTTCTTCTTTGCCTCCTCCATATCCTTCCCCTCTTCTTCTCCTCCTCTTTCTTCTTCTTCTCCTCCTTCAGTATCTCCTCTTTCTTCTCATTTTTCTTCTTTCTTCTTCCTTTGCTCTTTCTCCTCCTTTCTGTTTTTCTTGTCTTTTTTTATCTTTTTCTTCCTTTACTTGTCCTTCTTTTTCTTCTGTTCTCCTCCTCCTCCTCTTTCTCCTTCCTCTTTTTCCTCTTCTCATCCTTTTTTTGTGGCTCAGGTGGTAGAGCGAGTCGGTTAATGATCGGAAGGTCGACGGTTCAATTCCGCCCTGTAACCTGTGTCATGGTCGTTGTGTCCTTGGGCAAGACACTTCACCTACCTTGCCTGGTGTGAATGCGTATGAATGGATTGTTTGAGGTGGTGGTCGGAGGGGCTGTAGGCGCATAATGGCAGCCACACCTCTGTCAGTCTGCCCCAGGGCAGCTGTGGCTGCAATCGTAGCTTACCACCAACTGAATGAATGTGTGTAAAGTGACTTTAAGCGTCTAGAAAAGTGCTATATAAATCTGATCAGTTATTATTTTTTCTTTGTCTTCTTCTTTTTCTCTTTCTTTTTCTTCTTCTCCTCCATATCCTCTCCCTCTACTTTTCATCATCCTCCTCCTTCTCTTTTCTTTTTTCTTCTCCGTGTTCCCCTGTTCTTCTTCTTCGTCTTCTCCATCTTCCCCTGTTGTTGTTGTTCTTCTTATCCTCTTCCTTCTTCATTTTCAAATCAAACACTACATCAGTGTTTGATAACCATGACCCTGCACAACCAAGACTGAATGATCAAACAGCTTCAGTTTGCCTAATGTCAACTTTTGCTGTAAATCTGCACATTTTGTTGTTTTAAAAAAATGTTATTCACCAAAAAATAGAGCATATAAGTCATTTTTATCTTTGTGGACCAGTTAAACAATAATAAACTTTAGACAGAGTGGGGATAGCTGTTTCCCTTCTCTTCTAGTCTTTATACTGAGCAATGTTAACCATGTCCTGACCCCCGTTTAATCTGCCGCCTGCCAAAATGTTGAACTATTCCTTTAAAACAACACACCTCAAGACTGCAGCTCATAGTTTCTCTCTCTCTGTGAGGAAACCGTAGTGCCATGTTTTCCTTTTCTTTTTGCTCTTGACTGACCCATTTAGTCTCATCGCTCCCTCTCTCTAATGGCCCCTGCTGCAGATTTAACATGGTCAGGCTAAATAGCTTCTACAACAACATTTTCCAGCGATGCCAAACACACCACAAAAACTTTAGGTGATGGTCGGCCCAGTAATGACAAAATAATTGAAAGATAATTGAAAAGAGAAGGTTCCTTGCACAAAAGTGGGTATAATACATTGTGGAAAAAGTAGGGGCGACATGTGCTTGATTGTAAAAATTCTACATTTTGTGTTTAAGTGTCCCATTAGGAACCATTATGATAAGAAGTAAACAAAGAATACAATTGGATCATTACAACACTTTGCCATCAGTCACTGGAAGCCTGATCAGTGGAGTCTAATGTGGAGTCTCTGAGGAGCTGGAAGGCTGGATGGATGTCCTGTGATTGTTTGTTTTTATTAGTGTGGGGTTTTTTTTTTGTTTTTTTTCAATTTCACTTGGATAACCAGCAGGGGAGTGCTACAGTGCTAATGTTAGCATTGGCAGACTCACTCAGAATTAATTTATAGATGATGAATGAATCCACAGACATACTGACAGACAGATGGATAGATAAGAGCATATTAAGGGCTTCATTACATACAGTATATGCAGGCAGATTTACATGTTAGTTTCGTCTTTAAATAAACCCGAATCGCTCTCTTGTGAGCACACCTCTAGATTAAAGTGAGTGGCGTCACATTACTGTAAACCAGCACAAAGTTTAGTGAGTTTAATTCAGAACAACATATTTGGCTACTTTCAGGATATTTGTCTGTAAGCAGAGAAACATGTTAGATGAGCTTCTTGTTCCAGCTTCTAAGGGCACTTTATTGTCACCTCATACAGTGTTCTCCGAAAGTGTGTTAGCACCAGAGTGAAGCTTATGTTTTTCATGCTGCCAAAAGAAACCTCCCTCGAGGCCTAAACTCCACAGACTCTGAAGGTGTCCTGTGGTATCAGACATGAGCAGCAGATCCTTTAAGTCCTGGAAGTTGCAAAGTGAAGCATGCATGAGTTGGACTTGTTTTTCCAGCACATCCCACAGATGCTTAACTGAACTGAGATCTGGGAAATTTAGAGGGCAAGTCGACACCTTGAGCTTTTTGTTATGTTCCTCAAACCATTCCTGAACACTGTTTGCAGTGTGGTAGGAAATTTCATCCTGCTAAAAGAGGCCTCTGCAATCAGGAAAACTGCTGCCATGAAGAGATGTGGTTCATCAGATCAGACCTCTTTCTTTTCATGGTTTAGTTCTGATGCTCACGTGGCCATTTTCTGTCCTTTTGGCGGTGGACAGGGATCAGAACAGACACTTCACACATAGATCGATTCTAAATCTAGAACATCAAACATTAACTGTACTTTTCACAGAACTGCTAAAACGTACTGAAGACTGAGAGCAAAGTAAGAACAACATTTTATTTGTAATGTGCTAAATATACAGTATAGACAATAGCCAACTTGAAAAAATATCCAGTACGCAAAAAGTTACTTGCACATCTAAAATCTTGATATAACTTAAATTTGAATAAGATAAACATAAACATTTGGAACAATCTCAGAAATATATACAATGTATGTACAGAAATAAACATTTGTACCAGCACATTACACAACCTGTACATGGATTACTAAAGGGTTAGTTAACATTTTCAGTAATTTGTGCTGCAGTAACTCTTCTGTGAGATCGGACCACATTGCCAGCCTTTGCACCCCAAGCACGTCAGAATGGGGTCACGGTTCGCAATTCTGTAGTTGTCCTTCTTTGGACCACTTGTGGAAACCACTGCATGTTGGGACACACCACAACTCCTACAATTTTTGAAAATGCTCTGATCCAGTCGTCCATCATCAATCATTTTTAAGAACTGATAGGTCACTTGGTGCCTAAGATATCCCACTCCTTGATAGGTACCATAGTAACAAGATAATCAATGTTATTTATTTCATCCATCAGTTTTTTTTTTTTTTTGAGTAAATACTAACAGCTTTAGTGTGTATTGTCATTAATCTCATTGCTGTTATCCTGCAGTGCAGTTCGGTTTGTTGTAAGAAAATGCAACAGTGCTTCGCTTACAGCTTTCCTCACTGTGTTACTACCTCTGCTAACTAGAGAAAAGGACATTAGAGCATTGACCCTAAAGAACTTAATTTATCCGCCTACAGTTTCAGAGATTTAGCATCTTGCAATGAAATGCTGTGTGAGGCCTTTTAAGCACAGATTTGAATAAATGAATAAACTTCTGCATGCAGATTGGCACCACAAATCTACCGTCACCAGCTTCAGTCCAAAACTTGCGACAGATGTCATGTCAATAGAAAAACACTTTTTATTTGAACTGAGCTGAGCTCTTCAGCTGGTTTGGAGTTTCGATTGTCAGGATTATTCTGAAATGTTCTCTGGCATCTATCTTGACAGAGGAAACAAAGTGATTACCGAGGTTTAATGGGATTTGAAACAAGATGCCTCGGCCTGTTGTAGCAAAACGCTTGATTGTGACAGACTGTTGGAGAGCACGTGTACATATGGGCATGCTTACATGGTGTCTTTCTCGCTGTTTACTCCAGATCTGGTTTATTGTACGCAGTCACACATTATCAGCCCCACTTCCATCTTCAATGAGGTGCATCTTTGCTGTTTTTTGGCATCTCCTGCTTTTGGTTGATTGTTTTATTCAGGTTTTTTCTTGTTTGTTGTTTTTTTTTTTCTTAATTAGTAAAAGGGGAATGACAGTAAACCCATCATATGAGTTATGTACAAGTTTGTGTTAATTTCCAGATAGCTACTAACCAGCTGTGGTAAAGTTTGGAGGATTAATTTAGTATTTCCACAGCCTGAGGAATAAAAATTGCTTCAAAGTTCCTTTGTACAAGTTAACAAGAATTTGGCTTTCTAACATTTCCCGAAGAAGTTCTGTAATTTCTAAGCTTTCTTTACCAGGATGGAGACGAGTGATGACCAGGACAAGTTTTTTTAATAATAACTAACAAGAACCTAAAACTGTTGACTTGCTCCACGTCAGCTACTGATGTAGAAAGGGATGTGTGTCTTTACAAATAATTAGATGATTCCAGATGTAGATAGGTCACAGTATATGATTTCATCAAACATCAACTCTTTTTCTTTTTAGCCAGGAGACGGGAGATAATAATTCTAAAAATGAAGTTAATTTTGTCGGTACCACTGTGTTCCTCGTTAAAGCAGGATAGTCGTTTCCTGCTTGTTAAAGCAGCCTCTCTACAAGATAATCATCTGTTCAGTCTCCAATTAGCCACGAGCATTACTTCCTATGAAGGCAAAACAAGAAATGGTTTAAGTCTCACAGGAGACACTTGTCCCCAGTGAAACAGTGCTGCTGCTTCAAAACATTTTGTGTTCCTTTTGAACAAGTTAATCACATGCAAAAACTACTAGACTTTAAAGTGCCTTTCACTGAGTTCTTGGGAAGTTGTAACTTTAGATTTTTGCTTGTCCTTTACCCTTGTTATTACTGCAGAAACCATCACTTAATAATAACGTGACCAGTGAGCTGATTTTTTCCAAACCTGCTCCATTTGTTTAACTCTTGTTCACAGGCAAGAGCGAGCAAAAGACTCAATGAACATTTATATTCATACATTCGCGACTGTAGGCGAGATCGATTTAATTGAGACTCCTGTGAATGTGCAGCATTTGACTTTATTCAGAGAACCGAGGTTCAGCCTCTACTGGTTTGATGGTTCAGGTGGCAAGTTAGTTCCATGCTTTGCCCTGACAAGAAACAAGTCTAATTCCTCCTGACATCGAAGTTATTTTCTTTCCTCTCACACTTTTCAGACAATTGTCTTCTCATTCACAGTCCCAGTTACTGTTTCATCTCCTGTGTCGGCGTACAGCAGCGAGGGTGAGCCTGCAGGAGGAGGCTGAGGGATGAAATCCACATGCCTCCTCTCTCTTGTTTGTCAGGGTCACCATGCAAGACAGAGACAGATGAGGCAGCAGGAACCTGTTCTCTCGTCCGCTGGGGAATACTCACACCCATGCACACAAATACACACTGTCTCTATGCATTATCTCATGTGGGACTCAACTCCACCAAACCCTTCAGGGCTGGCTGTTTGTCAAACAGGAGGAAAGGGAGGAGAACATTTTTGTTCCACACGTTCAAAGAACAATCAGACATTAGTTAAGAAAATACAGATACATCTTTTTGATTGATAACATTTATTGAGCTGTGTTCCTGGCCACTATCATAGGATACAAAGGTATGAAGAAACACTTTTGGTCATCAACAGATTCAGTTGTTGACTGACACATGAGAGGGAACAATACACAATTTATACAAAAAAGTACAACCTATAAGCACACATGCACAGAAGAAGCAGCATCAGTCCAAGTTCTTGACTGCAAAGTCTCAGCTGTCCGTAATGAAGGTGATGGAGCCATCGACAGTCTCGGGGCTGCAGCCTTCCTCAAAGGCAAATAGGAAGTACATCACCTTCCTTACCTTTGCCAATTCCGCAATCCTCTCACCAAACTCATCAGCATCTGCCTCGTAGCACTGGACAGGTGCATCGGAGGCATCGCCCGCCGCTCTCCAGAAAACCCCGGCGGGCTCCAGCAGCTGCCGTGTCATCAGGTTGGTGAGGTCGGGTGTCCAGAGCTGCGACGTAGCCGTGATGGTGAGGCGACCCAGCTGGGTAAGCCGCACCGTCCAGTGTGAGAACCGGAGGGACTGTTTGGAGAAGTCCAGCCGGTACACCGCCTCGTTGGCCTGCAGCAGCCGCTCGCCCTCCTGCCTCTTCTGGCCCCTCTGCTGCAGGGACTGAACTCTGAGGCGCATCACCTCCGTCAGTTGGGTGTCCAGCCGGAAGGGCAGCTCCAGCTCCGTTGACATGCTTGGACGGCACACCTCAGCAGGCTGAGCAGTCGATGCCAACTGCAGGGCTGGATTAGATCGGCAGCTATGTCAAAACTAAGCGTTTTTACTTTCTCGCCGTCCACTGACTCTTAGTGTCTTTTTCTTTGTGCAGGATCACAGTTTATGTCTGTGTTGCATCAATGGAATAGAAGAGGGCGGGTCTTACATTGGTGCACAGATGAGCAGAAAGAAAACAAGATCTAATGACATTTGCAACCATAGCGCAGGGGTTGCCCTTAGGGAACCGTGCTTAGTGCTGTTGCACATTTGTTTTTTTCTGTGTTTGCTTAGTTACATCCATCTATCCATTATCTATACACCACTTAATCCTATATGTGTTGGTGGGGGGCTGGAGTCTATCCCGGCTGACTTAGGGCGAAGGCAGGGGACACCCTGGACAGGTCACCAGTCTGTCACAGGGCTACACTTAGAGACAGACAACCAAGCACACTCACATTCACACCTACGGACAATTTAGAATCACTAATGAACCTCAGCATGTTTTTGGACTGTGTGGGAGGAAGCCGGAGAACCTGGAGAGAACCCACGCTGCATGGGGAGAACATGCAACGCAGAAAGAGCCCGGTGCCCCCACTGAGACACAAACTGGCAACCTTCTTGCTGCGAGGCAACAGTGCTACCAACTGCGCCACCTTGCAGCCCTGCTTAGTTACAGATTCTTATATTTAGTGCTTGAAGCCTGCATAACTGCAAATGTGAATACCAAAACAGTTTTGTAAGAAGAGGTTTGTCTCCTCTCTTGTGTGTTGTTGTTGGACTAGTTGGGAGCAAGAGGAAGGGAGTGAAGGGAAAGCCTCTTTAGTCCTCTTGGGGTTCATATTGACAGACAGCAGGGGGAAGCCAAGGTGCCTTCTGCTTGTGTTTCTGGTCAGTCGTCGGGTCACTTACCTACCAGAGTTCAGCTGCTGCATAGTGACACTGAGCCCACATGAAAGCTGAGATAGATGGAGCTGCCCTCGCTATCCACGGTGCAGAGACACAGAGAGTAAGCAATAGCGAGGTGGAGTGCAAGAGAGATTGCCTCCCGAAGGATTACAAAATGACTCTGAGGTTTCTGTGGTGCAGTGCTTTGTTTTGTTTTTTTTTCCTTCTTCCCCCTCCTCCTCGTTTTAAAGCAGCTCCACAGAGTCGGTCCTCTGGAGAGGCCAGATTCTCTCCATCAGCGCAGTGTCACCTCCTGCAGAGAGGTTTGACAGGAACTGCTGTTCAGTTAGCGCACCTTGACATCTTCAAGGACACCCGCTGCAACTCTGTCAGCTAGTTCACATGTGGTGTCGCTCACTGCATCATCTGCAGCTTTTACTGCATGCCATATTTATACTGATAGAGGTTTCAGGGGTGTCCCTTCTCTGGGAGTCACTGTAGGATCATGGGACAACAACATTTTAATAAAGTGCAAGTTTTAGCTTGATGCTAAAACATACATTTGCATTTTGGACACTGTCTAACCATAGATTTCGTAATAATTTTAAGACAGTGTGCTGCTTTTGTAAATCAAAAAATTGCAGGAAGAAATTAATAGATTGATAGAGTTGTGATTTTCTTTTTTTACATATCATAGATTCCTACAAGCTAATAAGGCACAGAACAGTGCATGACAACTTGTGCTTTTGATTAGATCCTAAAGAAAGAGTAAAACTTTGACATTAAAATTTTGACCAGTCGATGTAAATAATCAAAAAGCAGTTTTAAATACAAGTTTAAATTTTAACCCATCGTCCCAAATTTTGTGAAAAACAAAAAATTGTGAACTTCTTGGTGCTATCAGGAAGCCATTAGTGACTCAGCCTTGACCAAGAGCCTTATGACAAAAAAATGTAGCTTTCCCTAGACTGAACTGCAGGCTGTACTGACACAGAACAGATAATTATGACGAGTATGGAAACATGCTCAAAATGTAAATGGTAAAATATCTATAATGTGCAAAGCCTCCGTTTTTTCCGGGATTTGTAACAGCTATGGGCATTTGTAAAAATGCTATACCTGTTGATTTCCATTTTTGTACAGTAAATAATTGAAGAAATGTAACTTTTTCCCCCCTTTTGTGTGACTTATGTATTATAACTCTCTTAAACTACATTTTGAAGTTCTTTCTTTTTTTTTTAAAGTTATTTTTTTGGCCTTTTTGCCTTTATTAGATAGGACAGTCAAAGGAGAAACAGAAAAGTGGGGGAGGAGAATGGGTTGCAGCAAAGGGCCATGAGCAGGATTCGAACCCATGGCCGCTGCATCGGAGACTATAGCCCCTCTATATGGGTCACCAGCTCAACCAGGTGAGCTAAAGCAGTGGCCCTTTGAGTTCTTTCTATTGCTAGAACGGCGTTGTGCTGTTTCCATAGAGGTGCAGGACTTTGTATTACAGTGGGGAAAAAGGCCTCAGTGAGAAAAGCTGTGACAAGAGCAAAAAAAAACAAAACAAACCCAAAACTTCTTGGGCTTCAGGGGGTTAAGATTAAGATCCTACAATATTATTTATTAAACAAATTCTCCTGACTAGTTTAAATATTAAGGTGAAGAACTGACAGTGTTGTATACTATGCCAAATTAGCTGACTAAATTAAAAATTAAGGTTGAGAGCCTACAAATTTATACTTGGAAAACTCAACAAATTTTTAATGAATTCTTCACTTAGATAACATATATTTTATGCACATTATGTCCTACAAGGGAAAAAAGGCCTGGAATACAAACTGTCTTTTGCCAATCTGTATTTTGCAGTTCGTATAATATCATTAAGTAATCTCTGATACGAATGTTTACTGTATATTTTATGTGAATGCATTGTTTGTTTTTTATCACTTTTGTCATAACTACAGTTTAAAAAATGGAGGCACTACAGAGGTTTCACTGAACCACAGCAAATGCAGGCAGCTGACACACACACACAAGCACACACTGCAGTCAAACAGTTATTACCTCTCACCCATGTCCTATTACAGCTGGATTTATGACTGGGAGAGCCAAGGTTATAAATTTGCCCCCAATCCTAAATGCATCAGCAGACATGAGGGGACGTGGTCTCACTCTGGCTGCCCACCTCGGCATTATTTACACTCCACGCACCAACGGCTGTTTGTTTGGCTCACCTGACCCTCTGTTCTTCATGTCTCCACCTTCCTCCTGCAGGTCATTCCTGACTGGAAGGAGCAGGAGTGGGATACGGAAAAACCAGACTCCTACGCTGGGATTTTCCACTTTCGCTTCTGGCGCTTTGGCGAGTGGGTGGATGTGGTGATTGACGACCGGCTACCGACAGTGGACAACCAGCTGGTCTACTGCCACTCCAACGACAGCAACGAGTTCTGGAGCGCCCTGGTGGAGAAGGCCTATGCCAAGTTAGTATCACTGCCAACAAGTTGCACAGATCCAGTTTTAGACAAGAAACACTCAGAATCTAATTAACTTATTTTAAACTCTGCTTACACAAGTAAAAACTTATTCACTTATATATATATATAGCTTATTGTATACTAGACCATAAATCACGTGGTCTTTTAGTTATACAAAGTCAATATGCATTTTTTCAGCATTTACACAGTAAATGACTTGATATGACATGATAATATAGGGGCTGCAATTAATAATTACATTATATGTTATATAAATTGGCATTTTCTCAAGTGGATAATTTGCACATCTGTGCACAATGTAAACATTCCTCTTAATTTTTACTACTTAAAATTCCTTGGATGTGCTCCACCTGCTTGTTTGTTTCTCATTGGTCATGTAACACTTGCTTTCTTTTGAAAGTTTTTTTATCCTTCTTTGGAAAGTCTCTGTTCAATGCAATGCACCAAATGTCACATATCAAATTCCTCATATGTGAAAACCTACTCATTGTCATAATTATCTTTGTTATCTATTAAATGTTTTCTTGATTTACTAATTGTTTTGTTTGTAAACTATCAGAAAAAGCAGAGGATCCTCCTATCAGAGAGCAACTGCTTAGGAGTTTTGACTTGATATTTTCAATATTGATTTCCTAGCATCATAACTGATGATCACAGTAGTTGACTGCTGCAGTTTCAACAAACATAAACATACTGTCCTCCTTTTTTCCTGCAGGGTTTATGGCTGCTATGAGGCTTTGGACGGGGGAAACACAGCTGATGCGCTGGTGGACTTCACAGGTGGTGTTTCTGAGCCCGTGGACCTGCTGGAGGGTCAGATGGCTACAGACGAGGCGGCTCGTAACCAGCTGTTTGAAAGAGTTCTCAAAGTCCACAACAGAGACGGCCTCATCAGCTGCTCCATCAGGGTAAGTCAAGAGCTGCATGGCAGGTTCAGATACCAGGGGACTCATTTATCATTAGTGTGTACGCACAAACATGTGCACAGAGTGTGTGTATGGACATTCCTACGCAAAGTATGGAATTTATCAACTTGTACTTATACTTAGGAATGTGTGTAAAAATACGCACAACTCTGACCATATGTACGCACATAATCTAGCGGTAGAATAGTGAAACTACAAATAGAAAGCATTCAGGGATTTTGACCACCGGCACATTCACGTGAGGTTGGAGCCATATGGGTGAACGTTCAGTATTAATTTGTCCTCCTCCAGTTGCAGTTATTTCTCTTTAGTGGGCTGTGATGCGTTTTTTGGCTAAACGTCAAACCATTTTTTAATAATTTCTGCTCCTCTGACCCAACAGAAATAACTGCGGTGGTTATTTTGTCCCATGCAACATTTTTTCTTTAGCTGCTTGTCCCAACATTCCACACACCAAACAATATTTTCTGGTTTGCTTCAACCTCGCTGACAAGTACCGTGATTTCAGTTTCAGAAAAGTTCCTCTTTTACGCCCCTTTTGCCACGATGATGATGACAGGGGAGGAAAAAATAAATCTTGACTTGCTTCATAAAGAGGCGTGTTGTTGCCGGATGTAGTGATTTGGAGGCGTTTCTGAAGGCAATGTGCATGAGCACGGTGGTTAAGACTAAGTGGGATTTACCAACACTGATGACTTACGTATGCATGTTTGATAAATACCTATTTTTTTGTACTTCCGCACACTCTAAATTTCATGCATACGACAGAATTTAGAACCTTTTCTACACACTGATGATAAATGAGGCCCCTGATTTCTACTTGAGGGATGTTTTTAGACCGAACCTGACTGCGTAGGTTAAGATTCATTTTCCTCCACAATTCCTACATACGAAGATGTGACACCTCAGGAAGAATTTAAGCAGCAATGCAAGCTGACTAGAGACACATTTAGACTGTACAGAAGAAAAGATTTATTACGTGTCACTCTGTGAGATGGCTCTAATATAACATTGGTCTCAATCTGTCATAGGTTGTATAATATCAGTTTGAGGAATGTCAATGTGAGATGAATACCTGGTGAATTGTATTAGCTCATATGATCCATCTGTGCTGCTCTGTTGCTTGAAATGCTGCTATGTAATGCGTTTTTTAAATTTATTTATTTATTTTTTGCTAGACTCAAGCAAAAGTTTTACTTTTCCCTCCATCATTTTAGTTTGTATATTGTATTTGTTTGTTTTTTTAATTCTATTAACTTTATTAAGAAATGGCACTACGACATGTTGCACCAGCTAGTAGATTCGGTGTAATTTCACATCATGATTTGATTATATTGGTTTGCAGATGTTGCACACAGCAGCTGCCATGTTGTGCTGATTTTGTTATAAATATCTGATGGTCTGATTTTTGTAGAAAGTTATCTTTGATCGTCAAAGCTCCGAATTGTCCTTTGATTTCCCAGACAGTTTAAATTGTGCAATGCAAAGGGACTTTTAGGTCATGCAGAATTATTTTATAGGCAACAAATGCTTTTTGATTACCCTCAAGGAAACAAGAGTTAAGTGTAAGGATAGTGCTTCAGTGAAGCAAAGTATAGAATGTAATAGCATATGCTGTTTTCTTGTTTTCATAGCTCTACTAGTCTGTGTATTGACTCAGTTGGTGAGGATGTCTTCTCTCTTTTCTGTTTTGCAGTTTGCACTTCATTAAAACTGTGGTTAAACATTTCTTAGCGCCAACGTCAACACCACTCTGTGTCAGATGCAGACATACCAACGCACAAGTATAAATGCTCACAACAGTGTATGCAGGAATATAAACCAGAGTTTAGAGTCCACAGTTGCTTTAACAGCTTCATAAGGCTCTAATTACATCAGGACTGTTGTTTTGCTTAATTGCTAATGCTAGCATGCTAGCATGTTCACAATAAAAATCGTTGTTCTTCTCAGTCGTTGTTCTTAGCTTGCAGCACAGAATTTAATCCATCTAATGGTTCTGAAAATATTTCACTCTCAATCAAAGTGGCTGATTGACCTTTAACCACATGGAATAATGTCGTCTGTAGCTCTGGAGGAGCGTAGTCTAGTCTGAAAAAGTTATTCATTTGAATTAAATTCAACTTGGGCTTCGAGGGTAGAAACTGTTTAACAAAAAGCCTGTGCTGGTTTGAAAAATGAGGGTGACACTGGCTGTTTTATAGGGAGAGCATAATTCAGAATTTTTGGAACTTGAATCTGACTCCAGTTCAAAAATTCAGATACCCCAACCTCTGCTGGTTCAACTTTATGTAAGTTCAATATCAGACAGCCAGAGTGCCAATTAAATCTGTATTAAAGCACCTGCTTTTGTGATCGAAGCACAGGAGCGCTTGCACTTGGCATTTTAACAGCATTTCAAAACCTGTTCTCTGAAAACTGTCTAATCCACCAAAGCTGACCTCTTGTGCCCCAGAGCCCTTTGAATAATTAGAGCATTTTCTGCTCTGATTTAAAATCCAGGGATGAAAAACTGTCTGTCGTGACTGACTTTCTGGAGACATTTACTTCTGGTATCTTGCAGCAGAGATAGCAGCCATGTATAGGGCAAAATCTCTGAATATATTCCTCCTCCAGTTTTCTCAAAAGCTCCTCGATGTTGTGTACTAATTTATGTGAGATTACATTTATTGTCACTGTGCCAACAAATGATTAGCATGCACTTCTGGTTTGTTCCTGCATGTCTTTGATTTCCAAAACTAAGCCTGGCAGTGGTAATAGGTGCGTCCTGAAGAAAAGTACGTGTACTCATGTCAAAATAAGAGTACATCTAAGTAACAAAGAGAAGTCAGTGAAACCTGTCAGAGCATGCCAAGACTGAGAACCCACTAAGAGCAATCCAGCTTTACAAGCCAGTTTGAAATTTATCCAGTTCTTATGTAGAAATTTGATGAAAAAATAGTCATCGAGCTAAAACTTTGAATAATTCTCTTCCCTCACTGCGAGGTGATCCATTCAGAATTAGCAGCTGGCTTGCAGACCAGCAGATTTATTTACCCTCTAGAGCTGTCTCTGTTAACTCTAAAATGTCTCAGCTACAACAAAGCTTGACTGCGAGAGTGAGCACAAGAGTCTTCATGCACTTTCAGCATCTGAGGAACTGAGGACCCAGAAGATTACTTTTATTATTGATGGTAATGTGCCTACAATAACAGAAAAATCCAGTGTTAGCACAATGCACAGCTAATGTGCCTAATGTTACCATTAGCTTTGATCATATGCCCACACGTCAGAGCTCTGTGGAAACTGTAAAACTGACAGACATTCATAAATGGTGGAAATCTTAAGACCAATTTGAAGCCAACAAACAAGGACTGTGTGGGTTACTGTGTTTTTATGTGCTTCAGCGCAACCTAAACTCAGCCAGTGTGTTTACATCTGTTTGCTTCTCTCCTTCTCTCTGTGCTCATCTACACTGCATTTTAATACAGATAAATTCCTAATCAAGCTGTTCTCATTTACATATTTTTCTCTTGTCAGACAACATAACCAGTATAAAATAGTGACTGAGATTCAGCCCATAAAGACTACATATTTAAATAGCAATCACTTGAGAGCCCTTTCCTGGTTTCATAACTATGACATTGTCTGGCAAACTCACCAAACACAATAGTTAAAGATGACGTCTGTGCTGTGAGTTCAGTGATATTTCTCTGTAAAATAATCACTTATGGAGAAAGTTAAAAGCAATAAAAAGTCTTGGTCTCACAAACTCTGTTATGTCTGTGTCTGCCATGTGGTAAACTGTTTTGCTCTGGGCTGTCAATCACAGAGGCATAGTGTCTTCTTCCTGGAGGGAGTTATACAGTCATGGTGAAATAAATCATCTTTACAATATTGTGAGCAGAAAAATTGCACATCAGGAAGATCAGACCTTTCCTGTCTGAACATGCAGCACAACTTCTAGTACAAGCTCTAATAATATCACGCATTGACTACTGCAACTCCTTACTGGCAGGCCTCCCCGCATCCACGGTCAAACCTCTGCAGATGATCCAGAATGCAGCAGCACGTCTGGTTTTCAACCAGCTAAAAGCAGCACATCACCCCGCTGTTCAGATCGCTTCACTGGCTTTCAGTTACTGCCCGCATCAAATTCAAAACTCTGACACTTGCTTACAAAACCACAACGAGAACAGCTCCCTCCTACCTGAACTCTCTTATTCAGGTCTACACTCCCTCCCGCTCACTACACTTGACCAACAAAAAACGCCTGATACAACCACCATAACAGGGCCAGAGGTCGACAGCTGGACTCTTGTCCTCTGTGGTTCCGCGGTGGTGGAACGAATTACCAAACTCTGTTCAATCTGCTGACTCCCTCTCAGTCTTTAAGAAAAGACTAAAGACCCAGCTCTTCAATGAACACCTTTGCACTTGACTGCCCAAAAACAAACACAAATAAAAACAAAACAAACAAGCAAAAAAATTCTATTGCCCCCCACACAGTCTGCGATTGGCATCAATGCCCCATCACACTTGAATTTGTTCTATGGCACTTATCTAGATTGTTTTCTCCTGACTAGATCCTTGCTTGTGTTGTATCTGCTCTCAGATGTACCTCGCTTTAGATAAAAGCGTCTGCTAAATGAAATTGTAGAATTGTAGAAAAATTGAAAGAGACATTCTGGGGACATGTAAGACTTTCATTCATTTGCTGTAAAAGAGACACAAAATGACTATATTATTATTATGAAATCAGTGATGGTACGCCATTAACAAGTCACTCAGACTGTAGAGCCTTTAGATTATGTCATTAAAGTCAAATTCCAATTTTATTGCTTCAAGTGGATACAACAGCATCATCATATGCAGCAAATTTAGCTTACAACAATTAATCTTGCGCAAAGACTTTCTTTCTACCACATGTAATAGAAGATACAGTTAAACCTTAAATTTGTTTTTAAACTGTCTTGGCAAATCTTTCGAACAAGAAAATAATACATGTGGTTTTAACAGAGGAAATAAAGGCCACTCGTTTTTTCTCCACTATAATCACCAGAGAAACTTGAAGTCGTGTCTGCAGCAGAGAAAGCAGACGCCATCAACTGCTATTAGCATCACAGTGAAATGAAAACGCAAGGCGCTCGGACCGTTATGGCGCACGATTGAGAAACACTGCTATAAATCCAGCTGCACTACTGTATATGAAAGATTTAACAGAGTGAGCATTCGTATATTTGCGCCTCATTCTTCAGAGCACAGTGGCCCATTTTCAGCACAGACTGTTTTTTTTAACCATATTTATTGTATTGTACGAAAGCAAAAAAAAAAAAAACAATGTGAGCAAACAAATCTATTTTGAGCTCAGTTCATTTATTGCCGTGTTTCCTGTTGTCCACATAAACACACGATGACAACCTCGCTCACCCGGTTTGACTCGGTTTTCCTCGTTTCCCCTTTCAGTGTGTGCTTGCAACCCTTGGACATTAGCTCAGTGTTTCAACCCTCAGCATCTCTGCTCTGCATGCTCAGGTTTGTTACAGTGTGCCTCAGTGCCAGCCAATCAGAAACCAGAGGAGGTGATTTCTGATTGGCCGTGTTGCCTCCAATCTGATTGTTAGTAGTATTATCTGTTACTAGGGGGGTGGTAGTAGTTCTTAATGCATGGATACTGACAACTAAAGACAAGCAGAACTTCACAGCATTTCTGTGTTTCCATTTGGGAAAGAGCCTATTCTAATAGTGCTGCAACACAACTGTGACAAGAAATAAAGATGCTCAGAGGATATTCTTGCCATTAGGGGTGTAACAGTACACACAGATTATAGTCTGGTAGTTACCTTGGCGATCAAACAAAACAAAAACTATTTATTTTGAAAAATGTAAGCATTCAGCAGTCTTTCATCAACCATAATTTATATTAAAAGCAGTTAAAGCACTCAAATGCTGGCATATTGTCAAAAAGAAAAAAATAGCACTAACGTCAGTAGTCAGTTTATTTGAAGAATAATTCCAGCAAACAGTAAAATGATTACCTAAACTGTCCCATGTAATCATCCATCATATCTGTATTTCCCACAGTTGTACACAGTTTTTCTGCACAATGAAGGATTATTACAAACATTTCAACTGTGCCCACGTTTAGATAATGTGGCTAAAATGTTGGCTTGTTTACTAACTGATCGTACTAAGGTACCATAGGCATTATAATA